AGCGGGGGTCATCTTCACAGTTCAACCGTGACTCTCAATTAGGTAGGGTCATCAAGATCTTCAGCCAATTGGTTTTTGTTGTAAATTATCATTTGATAGCCCTTTTGACCCTTTTAAGATTTGTTCTAGTTCTTTTTTTTTTAAATTTCATAGTCAGATTAAGTTCAGTGATGAAAGTTATCAGAAGCATATTCTCCTGAAAGTGACTTTTTCTTAGAAAACAGGAAGGAAAAGCACAGCCCTCTGGTACAGCACAGGTGCGGTGGCCGGCGCACCTGTGCAGAGGGCCGTCCTTGTCGGTTGTGTCACTCTCCGTATCAGCAGGAGGAGAGTCTGGATCGTCCTCATCTTCTTTCAGCTCCAAATCACCCGTTTCCTGGAACAAAGACTCACCTACGTCCACATTAATTTCCAGCATCCTCCAAGAACTGGATAGCAGATGTGTCAAGATTGTGATCGGGTTCAAGTAGTTGTTTCCCACTTAATTAATTTTTTTCCTGCTGGCCCCTCCTTTTCCATTCATTTCTTTTTCATTTCCAAGAGTTCTGCATCAAATTTGGCTTTCCAACTTAAGAAATTCTCGATTGGAACAGGAGTGCCATGAAATAGTTGCTTTTCGGCTTCTTTTTGTTTCTTTGCTTCTCGTCTACTTTTTATTTGATCTACTATTTCATTTCATTTTTCTTGCACAGCTGATACTAAAGATCATTACCATGCCAAGGATTCCTTCTGCCTGTACTATCAGGAATTTTAAAATGTTTGAAACATCATTTTCTGCCAGATTCTCCTGTGAGAATCGTCCGTAAAGAGAGCATCATCTGGGTAGTTTTCACGGGATGTAAACTTGACTGTGCTCTGGACAGCTGTCATTTGGCCCCGGCCTCGGATGTCACAGGACTGCTGAAACTGGGTGGGGTTTCTGATACGGCTGTGCAGGAGTTAGGGTCCATGGACTCCAGAGCCTCCAGCTCGTTCCGCTGCCCCTCACCTAACCCCCAATCGTGACCCTCACAGCTGCCCATGGCCAGCCCAGACGGTGAGGCGGCCGCGCCTGTTCTAGTTTTCTCTTCAATTGAGGTCTGTTTGGTCTTTTTTTGGGGGGTGGGGGGGCAGAGAGGAGTAATGTTTTTCTGCATATGAAATCTGGGATAAGTAAATCAATAGAGATGAATGGTTTCTTAGGGGTATGGTAGGGGAGGTTTGGGGAGAAGTAGGGAATAATAATGAGTACAAGAAAGAAGACAATGTTCTAAAATCTTAATATGATTGAGCTATTGAATTGTGATATGGAGTTTGTGAACTATATGCCAATAAAACTTTTTTTTTTTAAGTTAACTGGGTTTCGCCTTTGCAGATGGTCGTGGTGGCTGGGATCCCTCAGATGGATGTGTCTCCATCATTTCCCCGCCCTTGCATTTCGGAAGCAGAACAAGGGCATGTGATGGGCCAGGGTTTCCCCAGAGTCCTTTTTCTCGTCACTGGTGCCATGCCTTGGACTAGCCCTGCTAGTGGGCACCATTGGACTGAAGTTACACAACAGTGGACATGGTCATCAGTGGGCAGGAGAGTCAGAGTCTGAGCTTGTCCTGGACGCAGCCCTGTGCCAAAAGCCACTCCCACTCCCCCAAGGGTCTCCCAGCTGCTGAATGCTGCCAGCGCAGTAATGTTTATCAGACATACAGAACAGACATCGGTCTTAGAGGAAGTAGTGCCAGAATTCCCCTTAGAAGCGAGGAGGGCCAGACTTCCTCTCATGTGCTTTGGAAATCCCATTAGGAGAGACACCAGAAGGACGTCATGCTGGGTGGGAGGTCAGCGAAAAGGAGGAAGACCTCTCGTGGGGTGGACTGACCCAGTGGCTGCAACAATGGGCTCAAACAGTCATTGTGAGGGTAGAGGGTGACGCAGGACCGGTGATGTTTTGTTCCACTCTGCACAGGGTCACTAGGGGTTAGAACCGATTAGATGGCACCTAACAATGATTCACCCTGTTTAAAAAATGGGCCCACTGAGGCATGGAACCAGGGTCACAGTAAATGGGGTTGAGCTGCCCTGGGGCCCAGACAGTTCCTGCTGTTTGCTACACGGCTGGGCCGGTCACGGGTGTTCCTCGGAGCGGGTTCATGTGACCTGACCTGGGCACCTGTGTGTGTGGAATTTCACCTGGATTTGGCCACCCTGAAAAGTTGTCATCGAGTACTAATCCCAACCTCCGCACACTCCCCACAAACGTGAATCGAGGCAATTTAGAGACTAGGTAGTCAAACTGCCACCAGCAGCCTCTCTTGCCTGCATAAACGCTTCATACTTTGCACACAACTGAAAGCTGGTTCCCCGCGTACGTGAGAGCTGGTCAGAACTGGCTTTTCTTCCGAGGCCCCAGGGTCTGGGATCCGAGGGTTCGGTTTGAGTGTACTGGGTCCCTTCACTCTAAAAGCCTTGAGGGCCCCTAACTGTGCTGAAACGTGGCATCACTGCCAACAGAGCCACATCTAAGAATGGTCAGGGTGTGGTGGCGGTGATGGGTAGTCTCATGGGCAGCTGTTGTCCTCAGGGACTTACCCAGTCATGTGTGGCCTGAGGCATACTCTGTTGCTCCATCTTGGCTCTCGGCGGACAGTGAGTACTCAGTTATAGCCTGCTGACCTGAGTTGTCGTGACCAGACATGACTTCACGGAGCTGTGTGGAAAAGGGCATACATTTTGCAAGAGCCCTGCTACTGTGTGAGGGGCCCATGGGCCACACGATGCTCCCTAGCCTCCAGCTGGCTGCCAGAGATGCACCTGCGATGCCCAGCTGCAGCCTGGGCCACCTTGGCATGCCCACCTGCTTCAGGGGCCAGTGCTGAAAGAAGGGGGAAAAATTCAGTCATCTCAGGCCATGCTTGGAAGATCAACAGTTACATCGGTGAATCTCTCTTCTGAACACAGTTAAAAAAAATAAAGGAGCTATGCAGAGCCCAGTAGAAATACTGTATTAGTGTTTTTTGGAGGACTTAGCTATGTTTTAAGGCAAGTATCACACATACAAAGCGGGCAGAAATGAACAGTGTTTGGACAGCATTGATGACATGTTGGGAGGAGACTAGCAGGGGAGACGTGTTCAGACAACCAGCAATGGGGTTTCCCCAGCTGGGTGATTCCCAGCCTAGTGACTTCTCTCTTGGCTGTGGCTCCCCCAAAACGCGGGGTGGGGAGCCTCTTCTTGCTTCCAAGAGAGCAGGGGGCCGACTGCCCCAGCTCTAGTATTGGTGAGGCTCTGTCCTCCTCAGACCCCATTGCCCTTTCAACCTGGGGAAACCAGGAGGCTGTGGTCCCACCTCAGGCCGATTTTCTCTCCACACGCAAACTCGCCTGAGGAGGCGCCAACTCTCTCCAGGCAGAGGTGGTTCCCCGAAGCTGAGTGACACCGAAGGCTCACTTGCCCTTTGGGAACGAAGCCAAACGTTGATCACAGAAGGGTGTTCACAACAAGGCCTAGGCCGAGCGCCAGTGATTCCAGGCCGCTCTCCACCCATGCCCGCCTGCGTACTGGGGAGGTGGGGGGCCCTGGAGTGGCTTAGCTGGTTTCAAGAGGGCTGGGCATTTGTCCCTGGGGACAGGGCTTCTCCCCAGCCGCTCTGCTCAGGGACAGACCTCCGGCTTTCGCACTGAGAGCCAGTGCCACCCATTCAACTAGATGTGCTCTTCTGTAATGCCTGGGTGGCCTGGGGTGAACGAGGCTGGGACATCAGGTCTTTCATGGCTGGGGGGCGGGCAGGAAGCAGTGCCTGCAGCGTGGGAGGAGTCACGGAAAGGTCTGGCACCCACAAACAGGAAGGTGGTGAGCGCATTAAGTACGTACTTGATCATCTGGAGGGTCTATGTCTGATGCTACAGAGCTGGCAGCGTGAGAGAAGTGTGCCAGTGGGCACGGAGGACCGAGTCCTGCTCGTTCAAGCCATCTCCCGTGGGCACGGGGCCTCTGTGGAAGAAGGCAGCTGGGTGTTGGCACTGGATACGCACGCAACGAGGTGGCCGCCTGCACGGGCTCCTGCAGTGTGCCCCACCTTCTCCCTGTGAGGTCGGTCGGAGGCAGGTGACATGAGCCCCATTTTACAAATGGGGGAGAGTGAGGCCCCAGGAGTTGCTGAGTGAGTCACACCCACAGACACACAAACCCACCAACTTCTTGATTGGGAAAATCCCCAAACACACAAACTAGAGTAACACCCAGTCTGCGTGCAACTGGCGGACCGTTTTGCTCAGTTTTCGATGTGGATACAATGACAGAAGAGGAGAGTGGGTGCTGTGGAAATCAGTGGAGACCAGGGGTCCTGAGGAGTGGGGATCCGCCACCTCAGTTAGATGGGGTAGGGTGGGGGGTGTTTATTTTTTGTTGCTGCAGTGTGGCATCTAAGGCAGGCCTAGGTCAGTGGTTTTCAACCTGTGGGTCGTGACCCCTTTGGGGGTTGAATAACCCTTTCCCAGGGGTTGCCCGATTCACAACAGTAGCAAAATGAGAGTTAGGAAGGAGCAACGAAAGTAATTTTATGGTTGGGGGAGGGGGAGTCACCACAACATGAGGAACTGTATTACAGAGTCAAGGCGTCAGGAAGGTTGAGAACCACTGGGTTAGGTGAACAGAGAGAATGCACCCATAAGTCAATGAAGGTGTCGAGTGTGATGACCACCCTACCTCAACCCCCACTCACCAAGAGACAAAAGCCTCCCTTTGGCCAGTCACCAAATCAGAGCTGACGGGTGAAACTCCAGTGTTGTCAGGGCCCCAGGGCTGGCCTATATTCCCTGCCCTCTGGGACCCCAGCGCTTACACAGTGTAAGCTCTTGGTGAGCTTACACCAATGGCCTGTGCCCCACACCTACTTCCCCCATCTGGACAGCAGCCCCAGGCCCTAGCCCCCAGAAACTGAGAGTCAGAAGCTGAGCCCAACCCCCTACCTGGTTATAGCCCACTTCCTATGCACGTCCAGTCCCCGCTCAGTGATGTCCAGCCAAGGTTAAGAATTTGGGAGTTTTTCCTATTACTACCGCTCAGGAGGCGATACAAGAGGTGACGGGAACCCCGAGGTCTGCCCGGCTCACCCTCCGTGCAGGTGCAGAGCCAACCGGGGACAGAGAAGAACACACCTGCGTTTTCCCCCAGCTTGACCCACCAGCTCCTTGAGTTCATTGTTTCTGGGAGTCTGGCTGCTGAAGGGGATATTTCCGACAGATCCCTGGTGAAACAGTTGTAGCTGGGCCTGGGTCAAACTCAATGTCACAGAGGGTCTTGGTCCTCGGTAACCAGCCCCACTAGGAAGTCCAGTGCCAAACCAACCACATACTGGTTGGTGGGCGAAGGCTCAGGCGGAGGTTCACGTTGGTGAGGGCGGACTTCCAGGTGCGGCCGCTCGACTAACAGGGTGGGGTACTCCCGGCCCCATCACAGGACCGACTCCTTGGACTCCAGTTCTGGGGCGCCAGGCACAGGGCCAGCGGGGTTGTGGTGTGCCATCAGTGGAGACGTCTCCTCCTCCGACTTGCTGTTGGGGACGGCGTCCACCTTCACCTCGCACAGCTCCTGCTCCATCTGCACGGCCTTCTGGTTCAGGTGGTGGAGAATGCCCGCGCCCAGGGCGTCCCCTTCCACGTTCACCACGGTGGTGGTGCGGTCCCTGGTGGGAAAAGAGCAAACGGCAGGTGTGACAGCCGACCCTGCCCAGCAGCTACCCGGGAGCCAGCCCCGAGCCACGGAGAAGCGACCGCTTCCGGGAGAGCCTGAGATAGGCGCCTTGCCTCACTGACGCCAAGTGGATTGTCTGTAAACATTTGTTACTCTTACAAAAGGCAGCCCTGGCGGCAGCATGTTGGCGAGTCAGATGGCTAGTAGTTTGAAACCACCAGTTGCTCTGCGGGAGAAAGAAGGGGCGCTTTACTCCCAGAAAGGGGTTCAGTCTTGGAGACTCACAGGGGCAGTGCTACCCTGTTCCAAAGGGTCACCATGAGTGGGAACCGCCTTGATGACAATGGGTTCGGTGGTGTGTGTGGTTTTTTTTTTGGTGGGGGGTGTTCTTATTAAAGTAATCCACTTACATTGTAGACAACTGAGAAAAAAATAAAAAAGAGAGAAGTATAAAGCTGATGGGGCCCGGCTATCAAAGGATATAGCGTCTAGGGGTCTTAAAAGCTTGAAGGTAACAAGCGGCCATCTAGCTCAGAAGCAACAAGGCCCACATGGAAGAACACATCAGCCTGTGTGATCACAAGGTGCCGAAGGGATCAGTTATCTGGCGTCAAAGAACAAAAACTCGTATCATTGTGTGCTCACCTCCATGATATGATCGCTGAAGACAAATGGGTGAATAAGTAAATGTGGCGAAGAAAGCTCATGTGGCCGGCTATCAAA